GGGCTCCCTGCTCAGCGGGGGGTCTGCTTCTCCCTCTGACCCTCCCCCTCTCATGCTCTCTGTCTCTCATTCTCTCTCTCGCAAATAAATCTTAAAAAAAAATTATAAAAAAAAGATCATCGGGAATGTGTTGAGATTAGGGTAATGGGGGCTGGCATTCTCTGAATGCTAATGATCGTGTTGCGTACTGTGTATATGGTACCTTGATTTTCTGAGATCTGTGTCATTTGCATTGTTTTTTATGGATATTGATACAGAGGACCAAAGAGCATTTGCTCAAGGTCACACAGGAAGGGGTTGAAGCTGATTTCATCCAGTTTATCTGATTACAAAATTATCCCTGCCCCCCCACCCCCATACTGGGAAATTGCTCAAATAATCGAATCTGTCAGGACAAAGAAGTTGTGGCACCATTTTGAGCTTTGGGCAGAAAGGAGCTCTGTCTGCCAGGTTTTTTGTTTTGGGCAGTGGTCAACACCCTTGGGTGGTCCCCTTTGACACAGCCCAGGGAGCACTTAGGCACTCACCATGTTGTTCCAGAGCGCGATGGCCATCTCGGCATGACCACGTTCTGAGAAGTGGAAACAGTCCTCGGAGAAGAAGGTGAGGTCAACGCTTCCTCTCTGTGACCAAAGGCAAAGGGATTATGTTCCTGTGGAAAAAGGTACCGCCCCCCCCCCCCCGCCCCCCACAGGTGTCCTCGGCATCGTTCAATTCTGCTGCCACCTGGCTCAGAGATTGGTGGAGAAACTCCCCAATTTTGGAACTTTTAAAAAGACCTGAATTGTAGCCACCCACAGTCCATCCCTTTTCCTTCCACGTCCCTGCCCTAATAGATGACTTTCCATTCTATCCCAATCTAGCAAATAGCAGGGCCAGGCCTGGGGAGCTTGGTCACTGATAATTTTCTCCTTTTCTTTCCAGGTATATCTAAGTTCCAATAATATTAGGAAAAAAAAAAAAAAGCAAAATCTTTCTTAGGAGCCCTCTTGGAGCCATATCGTCAGAAAAAGCTCAGGTGCAGAAGGAAGTACATCTCCTAAGAAGAGCCCCTCCACAAGCGCCTCCCAGAAATTCCCGCAGCTTACGCTGTTCAGGGGGACGAGAGTGTTTTGGAAGAAAGGCTGCACAACCACGGCGAAGTCCTCACGCTGCAGATACTGGGGCTTGTAGGACAACCTGGAGATGCCGCTCTGTGGAGGGGGGAGATGTTCCTCAACCCTCCTGGCAGGGCTGGCCAGATGAGCTCTAGTCCTGCTGCCTTGGGTTGGCTGTGATGCGCTGCCCCCCTCCCCCAGCCAGAGGTGACTTCAAGGAACACTCTAGTGCACATGCATGTGCTCACGTTGTCTGCACCCAGGCATGAGCACCACCCGTTCTGAAGTCTCTCTGAGTCTGGGTCGGAGCCTCTGATCAGACTGTGTGGGCCAAAGACCTCCCCCAGTCTCACTGCATGAAGAGCTGAATTAGAACATGGGGTTCTGGTTCAGATCCAGCTCTAATGGGGATCATTTCAACACCAGCTCCCCGAAATGCCTGTGCACTTGGGGGATGAAGGTCCATGTCAAAGGGTTAGATGTGCTTCTCCTCAACAATCCATCTGGAAAAATGAGGATGTAAGAAAACATGAGAACCATCTAGGGCTTCAGGGTCCATGAAGGTAGACGGAAGCCAAAAGGGGGAGATACCTGAGGGTCAAGTTTCTTCAGGGGAGGCTTCTCAGAAGTGGCGAGAAGACCTGCCCTGTGCGTGAGGTGGAGAAGTTGCAGAAGGGCTGGGGAGGGCATGTCAAGGGGGGACAGCCTGAGCAGAGGCGGACACAGAATTGGGGATGGAGGTAAGCAGGGCTAAGCCTTATGTTCTGAGGGAGGGGGAGCCCAACGGGGCCGTGGACACTTCCCCTCCCTCCTCTGGGTGAGAGATGGTGCCCAGCACATGCCAGGGCTGGGAGGCAGGGCTTCTCCCACCTTCCCCTCAGAGATTTCTCCCTCCCCGGCTTGGTGTTCTTTTCACCTGGAGAAATCTTTCAGGGGCTGTGATCTGCCTTTAGGGAGCAGCCTTGTTCTCAGCAAACCCCTGCTCTCCAGGAGTAGAGGGGGCCCCCAGCTGGGATAGGAGGGGTGCAGCTTCACCTGGAAGTTCCAGTTCACTTGCTTCAGTTCCTGCAGCTCCAGGGGATTCTCCTGGGAACGTCTGAGGCAGGTACAGTTGCTCCTGTGGAGAGGCACCCGGGTGGCTGACCCCCGCACCCCCCCACACACAGCCTGGGTGACTCCTGGCCCCACGTCACAGACTGTAATTCAAGGGCACTAGGGGTAGCAGGTGCTTGTTTAAAGAGAAGGTGGGAGAGTTGGCACCTGATATCTGGGTCCCCTTGCCACCTGGTTGTTCCTGCCCCAGCCCGGGTCTTCCTCTAGGGAAGGGCTGGAGTTTTGGAAAGACAGCCATGATAACCTTATCTTTCTTCTTCCCGGTCCTGAGACCTCCCAGCTCCACCTCCAGCAGCTCAGGACTTCCCCTCAGGGCTCCAGAGTGGGGAGTCTCTTGGGAAGCTGGGGAGTGTCGACCAGTTTGAGACACACGGAGAAGGTAGAATGTAAGGCCTGAAGCCTCTGGAGGAGCCCTTCCCACCTCCCAGCTATTAGCTGTTCCACCTGGCGCCCAAAAAGAATGGGAACCAGCTGGTCACCTTGCCAGCAAATCCATTTGACCCCAGCTAGGACTCCTCAGCCCCCTGTAGAATCTTTTCTCCCAAAGCAATGATCACAGGAAGTCTGGGTGACCCTCTGGCCTCAGAGGATGGCAATTTCCTGCCAGGGTCACAGCTGAGCTTTAATAAGTTCCAGCCCCCAACAGAAATTAGTCTCTTGTACAACAGACCTTAGCGCTGAGCCTGGCTTTCAAGGATGTTATAAAAGCTACTCTTGACTGAGAGCCTGCCCCACAGGGCCCAAGCACATTACATACATTTCTTCTAGACCTCACTACTTTGCAAGGTTTTACAGATGAAGAGTAAGAGGCCCAGAGAGGTTATGGAGTTTGTGCATGATCTCACAGCTCCTAAAGGGCAGAGCCAGCTACAGATGGACAGCTGTCTTGGAAGCGCCTTGCCCGGTGCTGCCTCTCAAACAAACACCGAGCAGTCACTGGAGTTTGGAATCACAGACCATGCTGGGCGCTTTAAGGATCATTGGTCTGTGTCTCTCGCTTTGCGGCCAAGCAACCGGGGGTCCAGAGAAATAAAGTGACTTGCATACAGTAGGCAGTCAATACTTTAGAGGTATTTCCAAGTGATTTTTCTAGCCCCTGGTGCATCGCTGATGTCTTTCCTCGGGACAGGATCGTCTGGGTCGGCCTGCACTGGTGTCCTCGGGTAGCGTCCATGAGCCCCGCTCTCCCCAGGGGCCCTCGTCCTGGGACTGTGTACTTACTGAGCAGCCAGGGGCGGGTCACATTTCCCACCTTGGCCCTGGTGTAGGCCAGCCAACTCCATGACCCCCACCACGTTGATGAAAGCCCTTGGAAGCTGTGGGGAGCAGAGGGATGGGCTGCGTTAGTCCCCAGGCAGGTGTGGGGGATGCTGGTTACTACTGGAAGAACCTAGGGGCTCATCTACAATCTAACTTCCTCCGCCCCAGTTTTGCCAATAAAGAAACTGAGGCACAAACAGGGGATGTGACTTGTATTCTCTCAATCTTCTTTAAGGGCCCACTTTATAGCTTGGGAAGCTGAGACAGAAGTCACTTGTCCCAAATCCCATTGCTAGCAAGCCACCCTGCCTGGCTACAGACTAGCCATTACTTGGCCACCAAACAATACAGTCTGATTCACTTAGAATTTCCTTTGCAGAGGAGCTTGGTATCTGCCCCCCTCCCTTGCCTCCCCTCCAGGTGTCTGCTTAGCATGTATCTCCCTGAACACGGCTTGCCTAGATGCACACCGTGAGGGTGGAGACCCAGAAACCTGCAGCTGCTCTTCCCTACCTCCTCATAGAAGATGTCCAGGGCCTGTTGGATATGCTGAATGTACTCTCCAGCTGAGGGGGCCTCCTGTGAAGAGAGAAGGGGGTTCCTGTCAGCTCCAGGGTTCTACTCTGAGGGTAGCGGTCTGGTGACCAGCACAGGAGGGCCTGGGGGTGGTGGTTCAGAGGGGCTAGCATGGTACTGGACAGGCTGAGAAGCCCAGCCCTTGTTGCTGGGGGACACAAGTCTTCCTTTGACCCCTACTAGACACCGTGAATAATCCCCACCCTGATCCACAGTATCTCAAATGCAGGGGCAGACTCTGACCGTGTTGGTCCCTGCCCCTTCTCTGGTCCCATCTGTCACCAGCCTCAGGGTTCTGAACCACATCCATGCCCTGATGACCACACGCTCTCTCTCCTTTGGGCTGTGGCCTATGCTGGCCCCATTGCTTCCCCCTAATTTCTTTTTGACTCGGCTCAAGAGTCTCCCCCTCTGACTCATTTCTCGAGTGGAGGCTGATTTAGCGCCTTCCTCAAACATGGCCTGAGTTCATCCTGGGGGGGCGGCGGGGTTCCAGGTCTTTTCCACAAAAAGAGGCTTTCAGGAGTATAAATCTGACTTTGCAAGAGGGGCAGGTACTCTGGGGATAGGAGAGGCATTCTCCTGGACCAAGCGTCCACAGGTAGCTTTGGGGGTCTCTTCTGGCCTCCTGGACCCTGTTGAGTCCAGGACACAATGGCATTGAATCCCCTGGGGTTGGGTCACTTCTGCCTCTGGAGGCTGGGCAGTAAGGAAGAGGATAGAGGGGAAGAGGCTCAGGAGAACCAGCCCGTGTTGGTTGGGGGGGAGGGTAATTCTCATCCAGCCTTTGGTAGATGGTCTGAGCCATGAGGAATGATAACATACTTTCTCCCCCTGCCCGTGACTTTAAATGTTCTACCGTGACGTCTGAGTTAGGGCAGCTGCTCTTTTCCAGCCAAATAAAATACAGGACATCCCCAACTTAGAACAGGATGTATTCTCAAAGTGACAGCCCCCCCACAGAAACACTATCAGGAACAGGCTGGGTTCCCAGGCCAGCCAGCTGAGGTTGGTTCACTCACAAAGTCCTTGGGGCAGCAAGCTGTCCTCTTGGGACTGGTTTGATTTTATCCAACCTCGTTGATGACATTGTTTCAGCCTCGCCCTTGCGCACACATGCACGCGCACCAAAAAAAAAAATCATCAAAAAATGGGTAGGGATTTCCCAGCACATGTGGGGTGGGGCTTGCCGGTTACTCATTCAATACCAAAGAACAGTATTTGTGTGCATGAGAGCAGTGCCTGAAGAGTGGGTGCGTCTAGACACTTCTGGAATCGGGGAACCAAAGCAGCCGCTGTCCCAGGGGCCACTCAGCAGTGGGAAAGGCCAGGGTCTGCCCGGGCGGGCTGGGGTGCCTGGGAGAGCAGACCGGCATGACTCCCATGGGGCTGGGCAGGGGCTTACCGGATTCTCACAGTAATGACATATGTCGTTGCTCCCAATGAAGAGCGTGATCAGCTTCCAGTCACTCTCTAGGTTGATTTCCTGAAGGGACAGAAGGCTCTGAGTCTAAACTTTGGTAGTGGTGGGGGATGGAGGGGGGCAGCACATGCAGGTGATGCTCACCAGGCCAGACAGCACCCCCTCACCACTGCCTTTCACCCTCTTTGTACCCCGATGGAGAGAAGATGCCAGGTGGAGCCTTCCTAACCTTCACCTTGGTGCCTGGCAAGGAAATCTAGAGAGCGGACTCCGTGTGTGCACATGTGTGTATGTGTATGTGTCTGCTCACAGCGGAGGAGGACTATTTTTCCTGGGAAATCCTAAGAAAACTGCAGTGCATTGCAGAGTGGAGTGTATTAACACAGCCGTGAAACGTGATCTAAAGGCCTTCAAAGTTGCAGAGGGCGAAAGATGCAACTAGAAGTAAAAGCCCAGAGCTGCCTCTTGGGAGAGCTCGGCTGGTCTGGGTCCAGGGAGAGGGGACTGGTGGGGACTGGAGAAGAGCCTGGCCTGGGGGAGAGGTGTGGTGGGGGCTGGGGAGGCCCTCGAGGAGTCTGCCTTCTGCTCAGCCACCACCATAACAGGAGTCCTGCCAGGCGCTGGAATTCTGAATTCTAAGGCCGGGACACAGACACTTCGCAAAGCCCCAGTGAGAAGTTTGAGAGGGGCCGGGTGAGTGGGAAGGGGAAGGATTGGAATGAGGAGCCTATTTTTAGAACCCAGGGTTTACATAATAGGGCTCTGCAAAGCCAACTCTTGGGTAAAGTGGGAAACTGCCAGAGGCCAAGGCCGGCTCTGCTCCCTCCTGTGGTGGGGCCTCGGGGGCAGGGGCGCAAGAGCCCGGGTCAGGAAAGGGCAGCAGGGAGGGTGCGTTGGGGGTAAGGCCTGCTTCTCAGGGCTCATTTGACCCCTCCTTAAAGACAAGTAGGGGCTGAAATGGTGGTCCAGAAGGCTGGAGGCCGGCCGCACCTTTCAGGGTGGCCCAGGGTCCTGGGGTACTCACGGGGTGGTTTTTCATTCGCTCCACCAGGTCCCGGGCCTGGGTCGGCATGTCCCTAGATGTGGAAGAGAAAGGAACCTGAGCAGTGGCTGAGGAAAAAGAGCTCCCACCGCAGGATTTGGGCCTGGCATACAGGTGCTTCCAGAAGAGAAACGTATATAAAGTTTATTCCTTCACGATGTATCTAAAAGCTTTTTGAGTCTCAAGAAATCTCAACCTAGGAAAAATCAAAGATCTGCCACAGACCTTGAAGCCACATAGATGCGGACCGCGCCAGGGGCTAGTCTGTCTTCTGCAGGCCTGGTCCTCTGTGGCCACGGTGGGTGGGGGTGGGGTGGGGGATCTGGTCAGCTTTCCCCAAGGGATGGTCCCTGACATCCCCCTCAGCTCTTTCACGGCAAGCCAAGCCTGTTCAGATCTTAGTCGGCTGCCTGTTTTAAAAATAACCTTTTGTATATTTGAAAAAATGTCACAGCCTTAAATTATCCTCTGCCTTCTTTCCAGGCATCCTGACTCCTTAACCTTCACTTCTAAATCCCACCCTCGGTTCCTTTAATCCTTTTTTCTTCTCTGTAGTTACTTTGGACTTCCACACCATTCCCCATCTCATCACTTTTCCCCCTGCCGGCATAAGAGGATGGGGGAGAGAAATCTGGACAGGATTAGTTTTCCCTTCATCTTCCAGATGTCCGCCATGAATAAGGAAAGTGAATGCTCTGGGTAAGAGTGGAGTATGTCGAAGGAACGGTACTCGGCAGTAAAGAGGAACGAACTGCTGATCTGCACAACATGGGTAGGTCTCAAAATGACCTGCTGGGCGACAGACGTTAGACAAGAGCACCCAGTGTAGGATTCCATTCACATAACATTCCAGAAAAGGAAAACTGATGTCTAGAGACAGAAAGCAGGTCAGTGGCTACCGGGGGTGCAGGGAGTGGGGTAGAGATGGGAGGAGCAGGAGGGAGAGATGGGTCACAAAGGGCACAGGGACACTTGGGTGTGATGGGTGTTATCTGGATTCTAGTGATGTTAAACCATAAGCTATGGACATACACCAAGCTTATCAAATTGTATACTTGAAATGTGTGCAGTGAACTGCATGGCAATTATACTTCAATAAAGCTGGTTTTTAAAACAGAGAAATATATGAGCTACGTGGGCAAAGGGACCCAGCCAAGGGAGGCTTCTGTGCAAGAAGTCATAAAAGCAGTAACTGGTATGGGATGGGCGTTTTAAACCTTTGCCTGTCCTTGATGAGCTGGGCTTGTGGCCAAATCTCATTTATACATCCAGGATCATAGCCCATCCATTATTGCTATTGATGCAATACATCAGAAAGCTAGAAAACAAGCCTGTCCTGGGTAAAGGGGACTCCAGAAGTGTCTATAACCTTCCAGTAGGCTCAAGACGTGAGTAGGGGAAGTCACGGGTGATAAGCCCTCATGAGCGTGAGGGGAAGTTAGGAGTGCTCACTTCCTCCCCTCTTCCCAGCCACGTTCTTCACACCCTTCAGCCTCGGAGCAAGTCCCACCTCCCCCCTACATGAGCCTTCTCTCTGAGCACCTTTATCCATACCTTCTGCTTCCTTTTCATCCTGGCGTGAAGAGCCCTGCTCTGGGGGTTGCAGGTCCTGGGTTCTCTTCCAGCTCTGTGACTTACTTGCTGTGTGAGCTCGCCCAAGTTACTGAACCCTGCTAGGGTCGAATTTCTTCATCTTATAAAAGAGGAGGTCCATGGAGTTGAGTCCTGGGGCGCCCCCCCTCTGGGTCTGCACCCGTATGTGGGCTGCCCAGCTCCCACATCACACTGTTCTCTTTCATACAACTCCGAAGTACAAAGTCATTGCAGTCTGCCATGTTGCCATATGCAACACTTTCTTTTTCTAAAAGTTATTTCCTGTTTGTTTAGCCTCCTTAAACTAGACAGCAAGCTAGTTGAATAGGCAAGGAATTCACCTATTGATTGTTTTGTATCTTTTAGTAACTACCTTGGGGCTCAGTCCTTCGCGGGCTTCCCTTGACTTCTTGCTTACTGATTGATGGAAGGGGAAGTTAGAGGTTGAATAAAACTTTGAAACTAATTAATCCTAATAATGGCAAACTTTTTGGGGGGGTCATACATATTATATATTATACTCAGTGTTTTCCACTGAGTTATTAATCTCATTTATTCTTATGACAGTGCTGAGACGTAGGTACTATTATTATCCCAATTTATAGATGAGGCAACTAAGATAGAGACGATAAGTGAGTTGCCCAAGGTCACACGGCTAGCAAGTCTGGGAGCTGGGATCTGGACACAGACAGTCTGACCTCAGGTCTCATTATCCTAGTTGCCCTGCTGTGGTGTTTAGTTTTCTCTTGAGATGTGCTCCTCCTTAGCCGACACCATACAAAATGACCCTGCAGATAAAGGAGAGTCACAGAGCAACTTTCCAACCTTGCTTACTTAAGTCAAAGGCTTACTCTCCTTTCCCGCATCACGGGACATCAGAGATGCTGACGAGGAGCTGCCTGTCTCGGCTACTTCCCCTGCCAGGGCGTCCTGGTGCAGGCGCCCAGCAGCAGTCAAAGGAGAAGGCAGGAAGAGAAGTAAAGCAAGAAAGGGGCTTGAACGTCAGCCGCCTGAGGAATCAGCTGCTGGTTAATGGAGCCTGGGCAAACAATAATAAAATGATGACGGTGGTGGTGAGCTTGACAGCAACAGCAGCGATGCGGTGTTGATTTTACGGGCCCACGAAGCCCAGCTCTTTTGCAGAAAAATAAGTGCTTCCTGCTTCTGACGTTGAGGAACTGCCACGGCTTCCTGCGGCTCAGAGGCGCAAACCGAGCGTGGGGCCCTCCTTACCACGTTGGAAAGGAACGCTCCGTGTAAACAGAATGAGTCAAGCCCGAGTCGTTTCCCTGGTGATCTGAGCGCAGCAATCCTTCTACAAAGCAAATACCCAGCACACTCCGTGCAGAAAATCAATGAGCTCTGTCAGGCTTTCCAGCTTTAATTATCTGGGTTGTTGTCAACAACAGAAATCGGAGTGAAAACAAACAGGCACCATGCTGTTTTGGGGGCCTTCGCATCTAACTCCCTAGTGTCAAAATAGAGCTTTCTCGGAGTCAAGGACTCCAGGTTCCGAGGTGAGGTGGGGGGGCATGCGTGGGGCCCGGCGGTAGGCTCCCAGCACTCTGCACGTTTGCTCCGCGCCTCCCCGCGCAGGGAGGTTGGCCGGAGTCAGCAGGCCGGGGCCAGGCCACCCTCAAGGGCTCCTGCTGCCATGAGAGGTGGTGACAGCCCAGCGGGCCTGGCCTGACCCTGACTCCTCTGACAACCTTGGGCCATTCAGGAAACTTCCTAAGTCTCAGTGTCCTCGTGCAGGTACCCCCTCGAAGGGTGTGAGGATCATGGGAGACCATCCACGGGAGGGGCCGGGCGTGCAGAAGGGCTCCGTGCGCGGCCGCTTTCGTTGCCCATCTGGGGCCAGGCTCCCAGACAGCACCCTGCCCTCCTCCTCCCATTCCCCAGCCCGATCTCTTGGCCTTGCCCTCCACTCCCTCCCGGACCCACGGCCACTCACCACGCTCTGGCTCCTTCCACGGCTACATTCAGCCCTGCTGTCTCCTCCTGGGTACCGGTGGAGAACCCGAGGATGTGAGGGTTGAACTTCTTCAGAATGTCTTTTAAGAGGGTGAAGCAGACAGCACAGGTAAGAGCGGATGGGGGCCCATCCTTGGGGCCCCGGTGTGGGACAGGACGATGCTGGGGCTTTTCAGGGCTGGCTGACTCCCCTCCTTGCGGATAACCTTCCCTGCCCTTACTCTGGGAGAGGCCCTGGCCTCAGCCAGGGGTTGTTACAGCCACAGTGATGGTGCTTCTCGGTGTGGCTACTTACTGGGCAGTGTGGTGTGGGTGTCCAAGATGCCATCCCCTCCGATGCTGGGGAAGAGAAAGCACGCTTGTTAAGATCACCCTGACCTGCCGCTCCACCACTCCTCATATTTCCGAGTCAGAACCAGAGCACCTGCCCTTGGCACGTGATTCCCACCACCCTGGGGACTGACACGAGCATCAGGGAGCCTCCTTGCATCTCAGAGCCAGAGCCTGGAGACCCAGGTTCATCTCTGGAGAGGTGACAGGGGAGCGTCATCAACAGAAAATGAGTGGAGAACATCCTCACCTCCAAGAGAGTCCCCTCCAGGACGTGGGTAGGTTGCTGGAGTTGCTTGGTTGGGCTCCCAGTGCTGTCTGTGAGAGGCAAAGAGAAGGCTCGAGAACTGTGCTGGGCCCAGGGGCAGGCCGACGGTGCTGGGAAGGGCCCCCAATGTTCTGAGGTCACCATAATCTGGTTTCCACTTCCCTTGTTCACCCCCTGCTTTCTGGTCCACACAAACCCTCAGGTGTAAGCAAATCAATCTGAAGCATGAGGGCCTTGGACCAGCCTGCCCAGTTACCACCCACCCATTCCATCCCTTCTGGGAATGCCAAACTCCCTTCTTTCCAGCCCTTAAATCTCTAATTCCTTGTCTAAGACCCTTCTCAGTTTCCACCTCCTGTATGTAGCTTTCTCTAAATGCCTTATCTTAAAAAAAAAAAAAAAAAACACTAAAATGAGAAAGTTCTCTTTGAAACTTACAAAAGGAATACATATTCACCATAACTAGTGAAATGATACAAAGATTCTTTTAAAAATTAATCTACCCTCCCTTATTAATCTTGCCTCCTGCCACAGGTTCTATATCCCTTCTTTGTCCCTTATCCACATATACACATCACCAGAACTAATTAATGGTTAAGACCCTGGGGTACATCCTTCCAGAGCTTTCTCCATGTTTATATCAAAATTAACCACATTCACACACATGCGGGGGAGTTGCTTTTCCAGAAATGAGTACCTGATTTTAAAAGCCTGTGTGTCACCTACAGGATTATGCATCTCCTTCTGTGTAAGTTGCTTATTTTCCCAGCTTGACAAGTTTCTTAAGGGTTATGACGACACCTTAGAATTGTTAGCAGAGTGTCTTGTGTAGAGCAATAGCTAAACAGTTGGCTAATACAATTCATGTAGAGAAATTACACTATACATAGGAATTGGGCTCCCTCTGCCCCCAAAAGACACATCTTGCAATGGGGTGACGGGGTGCTGGGCAGTGTGTGGGTAATCCCCCACCCCCCAACTCTATAAGTTTGGGTAGTTGGAGATGAGTTCCCTGATGAAGACAGGTATACAACAGGCAGATGAAACGCTTGGAACAGTGGGGAAGGGGAGATGGAGGGGCAGCCTCATGGATGAGGTGGTGTTTGAGCAGGACTGTTGAAGGGCAGGGGGCCGAGCATTCCAGATTGCCCAGTGAGGTCTCGCAGCTGCCTGGCTTTCAGTGCCTGCCACAGGTAGGTTCTCAATCTTGTCAGCTAAATGCTGAACGCCGAGCCAGTGTGGAGGAAGGGCACTTTCGGCACAGGACCTGGCTGGCTCCTGGGGTGCCCAGGCCCATCCCAGCTCAGTACTCACGGTCAGCGAGTCACCCATGGCCGCCACCACTTTGATGTCTCCTGGCCGGAGCTCATGGACTAGGAGAGACAGGCAAAAAGACAGATGGTCAGGGGAGTCTTCCTTTTGAAGTATAAGCTTGACTAGGAGTCAGATTCTGCTCCAGTCCCACAGACCCCCGGTACACTTATTTCCAACCTAAGATTTAGCAAATTTGCCTCTTTCATCCATTTGGAGCAACCAAGGCACAACAATGGGCTTGATGGCTACTGTCCATCCTAAGAGGAGCCACATGCATGCTGGGGCAATCCAGGCAAGCGCTGGCTGTGGGAGTCATGATCATAGGCAGAGAGGGCCCCATCCCTGACGGTACCTTCCCTGCCGGGCGGGGAGGCCTGAGGGACTGTCACTGGCACTAAACAGAGATGGGAGGGGTGAGCTGTGCAGAGCCCGGTGGGTGCAGGCTAACTTCTCGGGGGCCGCCCATGAGCCAGACTGCATTGCCCAGGAACTGGCAAGGTCTGCTCGGGGCTCCAAGGTATGTTTGTCGGGTGTCCCACCAACCCGACACTTAGCCAAGTCCTTAGCTGAAGGGAGTAACGATGATGTTTGCACTCACCTGAGGTGGGGACCCCGTTGGAAGGATTCCACTCTGTACACAGGAAGTCACTGCCCCAGTTCTACATCAACAGGAGGAAAGATACAATGCCCAGCACTCACTGTGCAGGAAGGTTAGCTTTAGTCCAAGGAGAAGTAGCTAAGGAATTTTGGTGGAGGCTAGAACTATGCCCCTGTAGGGGATCATGTGTGGGCAGGAACGGCTCATGGTAGATGGTCCGAGAGGGAAACGAGAGAGGAGAAACTGGGCGTCTGCCTGCCCCTATGCACAAAATACAGAATGCGTGGGCCCGCATATGCTACACATACAGCTTTTCCCTCTCAACTTACCCACACTTTCACATGGATCTGGCAGTCACAGCAAAGGGGGAAGAAAAGTGATTTCCCAGAGGAACGTAGATTTGGATGTCTCATGGAAGACCACACATAGGTTTTGGTGTGGCTGTTTAACATTAAGCTAATGGACACTGATTATAATGCTGGGGCTGCAGCAATAACTAGGATGTTTCTAGGAAAATACCATGAAATGTTTACAATTGTAAAATTCCTGGTTTCTGCATATCTTTTCTGGACGTGCGTCTATGGTTTTGCATATTTAACTTAAGAGCCAACCACTTCCTTGTGTGTGTATAAATTAATGCCTCTGTAACCTGGATGCCCTTGGTCAAATTCCCTTGTCTCTGGAATACAGTTTACATTTCCCAGGTGCTGGAGGGAGGGGTGGGGTGGGAAGCAGAGGGCACAGAAATGACCGGTATCAGTAAGTTGGAGGAGAAATAGAGTCTCTTTCCCAGAGTTCCAAACACCTGCACGTCCCCAGGAGGGTCTGAGGGGCAAGCCCAGTGCTGAATGCATCGTAAGGCTTGGCAAGCAGGCAATAATTGGGTGACCGATTCTCTGGGGAGTGTGAATGCCAGAGGGTTTGGAAGCTCATCTCTTCTGTTTAGTCAGAAGATGGTAAAGACAAGCCTTGTTAAAAAGTCTCCTCTCCCAAGGGAGCAAAAATGAAACATCTTTTAAATATTATTTGCTTAATCTGATATAATTTCGTTTACTCCAGGAGATTGCTCAATTCATCATACTGATGTGGAAATTCTTTTGAAATCAAGGACATGCTTGTGTGCAGATGACAAATATCTGGGGAAAAAGCAGTTAAAAAGAGAACGTTTTATAGCTGTGAGCACTTGAGAAGTATCTCAGATATCTGGTGAGCCAGAGACATGACGTCCCCTGCAGATTAAGATACAGGTTGGACTTTGAGGGTGTTCCTCTGTCACAAGGGGAGAAGCCCACACTGTGCCCTATCCTGGTGCAGTCAGATCCCCTGGGGGTTAAATGCAGGCTTTGATTCCATAGGCTCGGGATGGTGCTCAGGAATCTGCATTTTTTTTAAGACTGTATTTCTTTATTTGAGAGAGAGAGAGAGAGAGAGAGATCACGAGCAGGGGAAGGGTTAGAGGGAGAAGCAGGCTCGCCCAGGACCCTGGGATCATAACCTGAGCCGAAGGCAGATTCTTAAGGGACTGAGCCACCCAGGTACTCTGGGACTCTGCATTTTTAACAAGTTCCCAGGTAAGGTTGATGCTGCCTGTTGCGGGCTACTTTAAATGGCAAGGTGTTAAACGACACCACCTTCTCTGCCTGGGTGTTAACGTTTAGCAGCAGAAGTAAGGGTCAATGAGACTGTAAGATCTAAGAGGGTAGGCAGAGACCCGCTCTGCTCACCTTGGATACCCAGCACTCAGCACAGTGCCCACTCCACTTAGGACCCCGATAAATAAATAAGTGGTAAATAAGGAAATGCCTGATTGACAAGATGAGGCTGACATTTTAGTCATAGTGGATTTTGGTCCATGGTTTGCCTGGGATAAGCCTCCAGTGGGCTAATGCGAGCCTGAGAGAATCCAGAGAAGCGGGACGGTGGTATTCCCCCAGCCATGGAGCAGTCATGGCTCATTCCCCAGAGCTTAGCATCGAACAGTCCTTCAATAATTTCATATGTTAGTCTCAGTACTTCAACTGGCTTATAAAAGGTCTTTCCTCAATCGTTCCCGCTGCTCTCAATCCATTTGCCGCACGGGTTAGGGAGATCTTTTAATAAGGTAAACCAGACGGTGTCCCCCTCTCCTAGAACCTCCAATGGCTTCCCATGTCTCTCCACCTGAAGCCCCACCTTCTTCCTCAGGGATTGGGATTCGGTGTGACCTGGGCCCTGACGACCCCTCTGATCTCATCACCCCACTCGCCACTTTATTCACATGCCCACAAGCCACTCTCACCTTCTTTCTCTTCCTCTCATACCCCAACTCAGCCCCACTTCCAAGCCTTTGCACTCGTGGTCCTGCCTGGGACCCCAGATAGCCAGCATCTTCTCGTAGTGCATGTCCCAGCTCATGTCTCCCCTCTTCAGAGAGGCCTGGCCTGCACAGTTCATGGGAACCTGCCAGACCTCCCTTGGCCCATTGCATTCCCTTGCATCACCTTCCTCACAGCTGTCCCCACAGCTGACATGATCATGTTGAGCTATTTATCGGATGCCCCTTCCAGTAGACTGTAGGCTCCTTGAGGGGTAGGACCCATCTGTCTGGTCTCCTCCTCTATCTCCCCAGAACACTGCCAGGCACATAGTAGATGCTCAGTGTGGAACGACCTCTAACTCCCCAAGGACAAGACTGAATTCCCTCCGGCCCCTAGCACAAGACTGCAAGTACCATAGGTGCTCGGGTGAAACGGGTGGTGGGGCCCCTGTCCTGGGGCCTGACAGATCTTATCTGGGCCAGGCCTCCACTGTAAGGCCTGGTGTGGTCCAGGATCCCTTAGGCCATCTTTGGAGTAGCAGTCCCTAAAGCCACGGGCTTTGAATCCTTTGGGGTTCCTCAGAGCTAGAATGCTTGACTGGAACCAGACAAGCCCTGGGTGTGTGTCAGCTTCCTATTGGGCCCAGTCCGTGGAACGAAGGTTCTTCCCATCAGCTTCCACCTTACGGGAAGTCTATGGCACATCAAACCCATGGCCTCCCCCGACCCCTTCCTGAAACGCTGAGCTGCCTAATCAGGAATGAGGTCTGTGCAGAGGTTGAAGAAAACCCATCCACTGGCACTTCCTCTTGGTGATTGCTGATGTCAGTAAGCACATGAGAACATGTTAGGACAATCCTGGGAGTTCATGGTTCAGGACCTTTTTTTTTTTTACATTCCAATTTCTAGTATGTAAGAAAGGTACACTTCTGCTTAAGCTCATACTCTGAAACGTGTGCCACACCCTGAGTCACCGGCAGGTAGAAATGCTTTGTCCCTGAGAGGGGCAGACGTGCATCAGGAGTTACCTCAATGTCCGGCTTGGTGGGGTAGGTATAGTTACTGTTCCGGGGCGTCCTCAGGAAGGGCTCATTCTACAAGAGAACAGAAACCACAGGGAGAGGTTATCGGAGAGCATCAAAGATTACTTAGGAAAGAGGACTACTAAGACCGTCCTCCAGATTGATTTCACACGACTCTTCTGCATGTAAATAGTAAGAACCCTATACACGTAATTTAATGCATTCTCTCGAGGGTTTCACATAACAGCTCTGGCAAGGGGTGCACAAGGAAAGGCCTCAGAGGGGTTCCGTGCATGCTCTACTCAGGGTTCGAGTGTTTGCTCTTCACCCTAGCCAAGGAACATCCACCCAGTCCTCAAAATAATCCTTTTCTTCCCTTTGTAACCTCTCTGGCTAGAGATTTACATGATAGCATTTTTTTCTTTTCTAGAGAGTATTGATTATATATTTTCTATTGATTGGTTGTCTCTTTTGAACTGTGTGTCTTACTTACTCCCTTTAGGTTGGCTTCACATACTTGGGCCGTATTTTTATCCCAAAACATCCTCTTCCTTGCCTACCCACCTCCTTCACAATCTGTTTGCTCACAAGCCCAGTCAAGATCCAAGTCTGTTCACTTATAGGTGAGGGTTAACTGAAGCAGGGAGGAGGAGACAGGCAAAGGAGAAACAGGGGGAAAGCAAGGTAATGAGAAAATGTGAAAATGATATGAAGCAAGAATGAGTTAGTAAGACTGAGATCGGGAATCAACAAGCGGACCTGGGCTTTCACAAGATGTGCTCAGTGGAATGGAAGGGCCATGGTCTAAACGTCTAAAGAAAATGGGAATAAGAAAGAAGAACCAGAATGTTGGAGGAGGGGTCATTGGGGATCAGTTCCAGGGGTTGCAAACTGACTACCTGTGGGCTAAACCTAGCCAGGAGACATTTTGTTTTGTTCTGCTTTATTTGGGCATGAATGGTGTCAAAAAGAAGGGGGGGTGGAGAGAAGTCTGAATGCTTTAAGAAGAGGTACAGGGTCTTCAGTTCTGGCCCTACCGCTTCCTCTTGTCCCATACATGGTCCCATTAACCCAATCGTATTCCTGCCTGCATGGCATCGGAGTTTGCAACCCAGAAACTCCCCATCTTACGGATCAGGAGCAACGGAGGTTCGGGATGAGGGAGGGACCCGGTCCAGGTAGAGAGCAAGTAGTGAGTGCCTATCAGGTCAGGCCTTTCCGGCTCTGATCCTCATACCAGGGTCAGGCCAATGAAGGAGCTTGTTGGCCAGCAGAGAGGAAGAGGAAGAGGGGGGCTCGGCAGTGGCCGTGGCACTCCCAGCCCCTCCCCCGCACAGACCCTGGCTCCCTGGGACACCTCAAGTCTCTTCTTCCTTCCTAGTCTCCGCATTCCTAGCTGAAGCATGGGCCTGAGGAGTACTCAGGGCCGAGGGCGGGAAGCGTGCAAGGCCAAGGAGGACTTACCATGGCATGTTGCCCTGGCGAACCGGGCTTGGCCCAGCTGACGTTACTCAGCAGCCCCTGAGCATTCACCATCTGAGGAGGGCAATGTGGGAGCATTCTAGAAATAACTGGCCCATGGGTGTAAGCACCCCCTGTGTTCAGGGCCCCGCTCCAGGTGCTAGGATGAGGGGAGGCTACAAAGAGGCTTACGGGCCAGTCAGGCAGAGAGCATGAGACGCTAGGAGGCAGTGAAGACTCAGGGACCAGTGTGCCCAGTAAGTGCAGCGATTGCTGAGGAATGGCTACAAGATCGGGCGGGGTGGGGGGGATGTACAGACCTCACATAGGAGACGCTGTGCATGGAGCATTGCTACTTATCGTTCCCCCCTTGTCAAGGGAGCCCTGACTGGGAATAGGGGCTGGGGGCTAGTCCCAGCGGCCAGCACCGGAAGAACCAGAGGGCAAAGACTCACCTTGCCCTTCTGGGAGTGCTAAAAGTCAAGCTGGAGGGTCTATTTGGTCACATGACCTGAAGTTTGGGGCAGGGGCCAGAGAGGGGAGAGGGAGTCAAAGGGGTCAGAGGTCAGGCAGACAGTGGAATTCGGTGGGGGAGCTAAGCCAGAGTGGGAACAAGTCCAGGTCAGGGGCAGATAGGTAGCCTGGGGGGCCTGGGGCTCGCTTCATTGACCATTGACACCATAATGCATAGGTGAGTCAGAGCAGTTTAGGGGCCCCGAGTGGAGCAGATCACGTGCAAAAGAGATCCCAGTTAGCCTGACTGCTCTCTTGGGCTAGATCCGGAACACCAGTAGCTAGAAAGTGAAGCCGAATGAAAGCCAGCACAGGGAGTGTTCTGCAAAGATGGTGTGGCTTGCCCGGGCGGGGGAGGGGGGCAGTGCCAGGACAGCCACCTGGTGTGAGTCAGCGGCCTGCAGGGAAGGTCAGGTTCCTCTTGGCCGCGTTATAGGTGTGCGGGTCTGTGGTGAAGGAGTGGCGGTGTTCTGTGTTGCTCAGACCATAGCGGGAGTGAACAGTCAAGCCAGGCGCCAACCCCAAGCGGGCGTCCATTCCAGGGGGACATGCGTACGGCGCGAGGCAGGGCTTGCAAGGCTTGTCTGCCTTAGACGGCTGAGGAAAGGGACGGGAAGGCTCAGGGAAAGGGGGTGGTGGTGACAGGAAGGAGGACATAACAGAAGGACATGGCATGCCCTCTGACATGTCTACCCAATCCCATCCCGGTCCCCGTGTGCTGGCTCACGACCTACGAGGCTCATTTCACAGCCTGTCCATGGGCAGCCACCTGGCAGGGTGAAAAGCACCGCCTTGAGACTATGGAGGCTTAAGTAGAGGCCGTGCTGGTGCCTCGGGAGGGATGTGGTGGCGTAACTCCACTCCCACAGGACCCGGCGCATCGACAGGACTCCGAGGCCCTCCCTGCGGAGGTCCTTAGGTTACGGAATTCTCTGTTGTTCCGATGGGAAGGGCCACATGACCATTAGCACACAACGTGACGAGGATGTGAACGGGGGTGCTGGCCGTAGGAAAGGAACGGGGGCCCGGGGGGGCGCACGAGGGAGAGTCCTATCAGATAGGGCACCTCACGTCTCACACCCGCAGAACTGTGCAAACCACAATGATACAGACAGAAATAGGGGAGTCCTAAGGATCAGAGAGGTGGGGGAGACAAACACTTCGTTCCCGTTTTGACGTTTCTTGCTCAAAAATTATTTTTTGCATGCATGTGTGTTGAGTTTGGGGTGACGGTGGGGTGAGGCAGGATAGGAGATTTAGAAGTCCACAGCATTCAAAAGGTAAGAGTGTCCCCCATGTGTAATTCAAAATACAGCAAAGTATTTTGAATTAAAATTAAAATATTGCTAAACAGTAAAGTAAGTATAAGGGAGCCCAACAGACCTCTGCTTTTTCTTAAGATGAAAGAAAGATTGGGTGAAATAGCACTTAAAATTATTTCAGTCCCCCTCCCGGTGTCTCTCTCTGGTTTCCTGGTCTTATCGATACCCTGATAATACATTTAAGCTGCCTTCTGGGCAATCTTACACCACCCAGGGCATCCCAGGAGGAAGCCTCTCTTAAAGGTTAGAAGAACAGAGCTGGAGTCTGAGGAAGGAGAGATGAGGATGGAGGTCATCCTGTGCACAGACATTTACCAGGAAACCGTGGAAATGGACAACCCTCAGAGCGAGGGGATGTGGAGAGAGAGAAAAGAGAATAGAGGTGGCGCATGACAGTGGGAGACTGTCCCCATTTTTGAGACAAGAAGGGACAGGGACTAGAGGAATAGCACCATCAGGGAGGCACTATGTCGAGGAATGCAGGCGGAAATGGGTTTCACGGAGGCAGCACGACAAGTGTTCAGAGCGGGCCAGAGGAGTAAGAGTGGAGAGAGAAGTGTGTGGGTCCTTCAGCTCCTTTCTTCAAAGCCCGAGGACGAACCACAGCCGGCTGCCCTGGGTTAGAGAAGACAGTGAGAGCGGAGAGGGGACAACGAACGCTCACAGTCCACAGGGCGGCTAATCAAAGCTGGCCGGGAGATCATCCGCCCCCCTGGAAAGTCTAGCAGAAATCCAGGGGGTGCTGCTAAGGGGCCGGCCTGGCCTGGCAGAACACACCTGCAGTTGCCTCAGGCAGGGGGAGGAGCAGGGAGGAGGCTGAGAAAGCTCCTCGATGCTCCCATCCATTCCGGCCCCCTCCTCCCTGCTGGGTCCTGGCGGTTGCCTCTATGTTTAGCCACAGCAAGGACTAAAATATGTGGTGCCTGGCCCCTGTCAGCTCACCCGGAGAGGCTGGTGGACTTTTATAGAGCTCTAAGGCACACGGGCGGGAGCAGATGGGAAGGGAGGAACGCGGAGTGCCGCTTTGCCTGGGGTGGTGGAGCTGGGCTGGCCGACAGATGGATCCTTTTGGAATGGGGTTGCCTGGCAACGGCTTCCCCCAGGCTGGGCTTCTACAGCTCCAAGAGGCTGGCTTTGCTCTCCTCTGCTTACCAATGGCTCAGTCAGGCTCTGTCCAGAAGGAGGGGCAGAGCCCACTGCGGCTTGAGATGCTAGTTGGAGTGGCACCCTTTCGGGGCTCCCTGCCTGGCCTGGGACAGAGAGTGGCGCAGGTCAGCTTGAGGCCCACGGTGACAGGGCCCTCCCTGACCCCGTGCCTAGGCTCCATCCGGTACTTACTACGTGTTTGTGGGAGGGAGAGCACAGGACGGCTCCCTGGAATGGGTTGTTATTACTTTTACTATTGAGTGGCAGGAGAACTGACCGATTGGAGAGGATTTCCCATGGCTGGTTTTCAGTATGGCCACATAGGTTGTTAAACACGCAAATGCTTACCTCCTGTATGGTTTCGGGACACTGCTCTGAGTCCCCAAATGCCCCCACTACCCAGGCTGCCTGGCCCTTCCCCGAGAAACTCCTGGACATGCTCAGGATCTAGTAATTAAACATTCCGCACCTGGCACAGTAGGCCCCCGTAGGACCTTGTCCCGGCGTCCAGCCAGCATCTGACCACTGGGCTGGAGGCATCCGTGTTACCTCATTTGACTATTCCTTCGCTCCGAGCACTAGACCCAGCCACTGAGCCCTTTGCTACGGCGGCCTTCACCTCCCCATCCCTTCCTCCCACGGCCCTGGCTCTCCTGATGGGGCCTGAGGCTGGGCTCGGGGAGGCAGCAGAGAGCATGGGTATGGGCAGGGGTGCCCACTCTCTCTGGAGCGCTGGCAGACACAGGGGGGAGCTGCAGGTCCATTTCCTGCTCAGCCAGGAGGGCGGGAGAGGGTGAGGCAGCCTGACCCAGGGGGGAAACCCAGCCTCCCAGCCTGGGTCAGGTCCTTCTGCTTTTACTGCCACTGAGGGCCCTCTGGCTTCGACCTTATTTGGTTAAAAAACCATTAAGACGGGGCCTAGGAAAGGGAGCTGAAAGCAGTGGGAATGAGAACCTGCCCCCACCCTAGGCCTGAAATCAAGTTGAACAACCACTTACATTTTCCTCCTTAAAAGGAGCCCTGAGCTGCGTCCTTGCCCCTCCTCCACACAGCTAGCTCCCCACCCTTTGCTGCTCTCCTCTTTGGCCCTATCCCTGCTGGGAACTCGCACTCCAGGCTCTAAGACCACTAACCACAACTTCAGAGCTAGCTGGCTTCTCACTAAGGCTTCTGACCTGCAGGCAGACTTGCCCATCGGCCCCAAGCGCTACTGCCCAAAGGAGCCTTCTTGCCACACCTCTGGCTTCTTGACACCCCCACCCCGCTGCGCCGCCAGGGCGCTGCTCTCGCCCTGATTCTCTTCCTCTGCTTGGGCCCAGGCTTCCCTTCCCACCTGCTTCTAAAGAAGTCTCCTCCCCTGTCAGTTCCCATCGACTTCCTCCCATCCTCCGAAGCTCTCCTGCACCCACACCCACTCGAGGGGCTTCGGTGCAGGACCAGGGGAGGGCGAGGTCTCTGGGGAGGGGCAGTGCAGGTCCTCCCCTATTACCTGAGTGGGGCAGAAGAGGGCTATATTTGCTGCCAGGTCCAGGGTCTCCGTTTTCCTTCCTAGTGGTTCAAGCTACGGGGGAAGACAAGACAGAGCCGCTGATGTGAGCAGTCCCTGGCAGCACCTTGCAGCCGAGGCGGCTCACAGCCTGATGTCAGGGGGGTGGGCTTCCTAGGTCCGCTGCAGGGCGCTGGGCAAGCCTCTCCGCTTCCTCACAAACTCCTGGGACTTGGCTGGCAGGGCTGGCGAGAGGCTCACACGGCCTTGCCCAGCGGCTGGCATGTGGCGAATGTTGAATAAGCCTGAGGGTCTGCCTCGCGTTCCTCGGAGAGCCCCTCCTCCCAAGTCAAAGCACAAAGGAGAGGGGGACGTTGATGCTGGGATCCTCAGGACTCCATATTTGCAGTTCTACAGACTTCTACAGATGTTCTAGTCACTGCTCCTTTACACCGTACTTGCAAAGGGAGGCCAAGAACGAGCCTCATTCTGTAGGGGTTGGTGCTTTGCCAGACTAGAGCCCCAGAGACCCAGAGATACCCCACTTATTTTACCATATTGACCCAAAGGGCTCTGGAGAGCTGGGAGTGGAATTTCTGACTTGGGTGGAGACAGTCTGGAGCGAAGAAGGACATATCCAGGCGCCCATCCTAAAAGAGAAATGGATTTCTTCAAGATCCTATTGGTACAGAAGGTAGGCCAACCCCTGGGATTCACCACTCAGTGCCCCCACTCCCTCTGGAGAAGCTCTAAGCCACTGGCCTTCTATAAGGCCGGCTCACCTCAAAAGTGAGAGAAGAGCAATCCCACAGATTAATAGCCTTGGGTGACCCCAACCTCCACCCTCCTTTCTGGCCCCATAATTCCCCTTATTTAATGTGTTTAAAAAGCATCATATTTATTTTTAGCACAGTTGTGCAATGCCCTAGCCCATGCCATGGTCCAGGGAATGAGATCCTAGTCCCTGAGGAGCTCTTGGCCAGCCAGCCAGGAAAAGCTACTTCCCAGCCCTTGGCAGCTGGTTCGAGTGGTCTTGGTGGGGAGAATGGGCCAGAGCTTGGGGCAGCCTGGGCAAAGCTGACACTGGGGTAGCTGCCACCCTCATCTCTCTGGAGGTGAGCAGGGGTGCCCAAGGCTTCTTCCAGCTTCCCTCCATCTAGGCAAGGCCCTTAGCATGGAGGCCCAGGTGGAGAGAACTGAGTCCCCATCCTAGTGAGCTCAAAAAGCTCTTCTGCTCAATGTGTCAGGGGGAGAGCAGGACCAGGGGGTGCAGGGACCCCATACCCAGCACCCTCCTTTAGCACTTCAGTGGTATGTGGGTGGCAGAAAGTGAATCATCTGAAGGTGGATATGTTCAACTCATGCCTCTCTATCCCTTATTCCCTATATGATTTTAGGAAGAATACTTCACACCTCTGAACCTCTGTTACCTGGGGATGAAGAAACCCATAGCAAAGGTCGTTGTGAAGATTTTACCAACGGCAAACACGGGGCTTGGCACGGGGTAGGTGTTCGAGAAAGTGGGGCCAGCTATCCGTGGTCATGAGCACATCCCACATCAGGCTGCCGCCAGGAACACAGCTCAGGCCACAGACCAGCCTCTGGAGAGCCGCCTGGGTCTTTCTCATTGTCTTCACAGGCTCATGAAAGCCCTTGGCATCTCTGCCTTGAATTTCTTCTTCCTCCCACCCAGGAGCCCCACCAGGGGAGGGCAGGGAACGTACCGCCAGGAGGGGGAGCCGGACCTTGTGGAAGAAGGGCTGAAGTACCACAGAGAAGTCCTCCCGGGTGTCATAGCGGCCTGACCCCACCAGTTCCCGCATGCTGCTCTGTGGACACACGCAGGCTGCTCTCAGCACAGGCCCTGGGCAGCCCGGGGAGGGGGGGGTGCGGCGCGGGGGGAGGCCAGGGCTTGGCAGCTGGCATCCCTGCCCCCATCTCCCTACCCAAGAGGGTGACTCAACCCTTCCCTTGAGAACACAAACACATGTGATTGCAAATCTCTTTCCAGAGAATTGTAAACAGGTTGGTTCACCTTTTGGTTTTGCTATTAAGTGAACTGCAAGCTCTGAAGGGCGAGGCAGGAAGTCCCACAAGGGATAAGAACCCGGGAAGAGTCTCCAGAGGGCCCCTGGGGGCTCAGGACCTGCAGCCTCCCTATTCGTGGCCTGCCTGTTGAGGAGGGGAGGAAGGGGCCCCCGGGGTGCAGGGAAGGAAAAGGCCTATCCATGGAGCACCCAGAGCTACTGACCTCTTTAGGCCAAGCATGGGGTGAAGCCACTGAGGGCAGGTGGACCTCGAGGGCTTTGCCACCTGGATTCCTCTGGGATGACTCTAACTGGGGTGCCTGAGGCATTTCAGCCAGGTGGGGCAGAGGAAGGGCCCAGAAGGTGATGTCCCTCCAACCCGGACTAGCTCTTCCCTTCCCTGAGTGCCAGTGTGTTGACTGAGGAGGGGGAGAGCAGCCCAACTGGTGGTTCCCTTCTTGGTCTCACCTGGTAGGCTTGGGTGATGGCCTCCAACCTGGCCAGCTCTTGGGAGCTCTCCCGAGGGGTCAGAACGCAGTTACATAACACGCTGCACAAAGAGGGGGAGGCAGGAGGACCCAGAGCGGAGGCTCTGGTCAGAGCTGGTTCTGCTGCGTGGGGTGGCTCGCTTGAGCCCTGGCTTAGGAGCACACGTGCCCTGAGGCTCTGATGCACATTCTCAGGGGCAGATTTCAGGCCTGACACGGACTGGACAAAATCCCAAGGGTGTGTGAGTGAGCACCCTCTCATACTGATAGAATACAAATACTGGACTGCAGGCACTGGGCCTCTGGCAAATAATGAGGAACAAATGAACTTAGGCAATGAAAATCCAATGTTTAATTGGGTAAGAACGAAATAAAAGTGCATCCTGTGGTATCGGAGCTTGTATTTGGGGGTCTCTGATGCTCACGCCCTCAGATGCCTCCTTAGTTCACACTAGTGTTCCCCTTCATCATGAATTATGCATTCATAATGAATCTGGATGAATTTCATCATGAATTATTTCACGCTCATGAAATACACTTCATGTTAAAACAGATATTATCTCTAAAGCACTGAGAATAGTGCCAGGCACACAGTAGGTTCTGTAAAACTTTGTTAAAGAAATAAATGTACATATGAGGTAGGAAGATTAATAAAACATGTACCTATATACCTCTCACCCCACTTAATAAAACACTCCCATTCTGAAGTCCCCCAATGTGTTCCTTCCCCATAAATGTCATTGAATGATGTGGATCGTTTCTCTACTTTCTGTTTCAATCTGACCACGTACGTATACAACCCCACGTTCCCTCTTTTCACTGGCTGGGCCATGCTGTGTCTCAAACACCAGCATTTGTCCCAGCCCTGACCCTCTCCGCTGTGGCTCCCATGTCACAGAGCTTCCTCCTGGCATCCTGAGGTTGGGGAAGATTGGGGCGGTCCTGACATAAGACCCCCTTTGCAGACTTGGACACGTGGACACACCAAGTCACAGAGACCCCGAGTAGTCACCACTGTGAAAGTGAGACCAGGAGGTGAGCGCTTCTCTGGCGGGGGGCAGGCAGCCCCTGCCTACCTGGCCTGCTGCACAGGGCACCTGTCCGGGTTGCCCAGAAACACCTGCCGCAGGACGCTGGGGCTCAGGAAGTCCACGAGGTTGACCAGGGCTCTGGGCACCTAAGGGCAAGGCTGCAGGTGAGAGAGGGGCTCTGGGGGCTTCTTCCTCAAGCTGCCTTAGGGCCCTGAGAAGTGACTCTCCACAGAGCCCAGGCTCACGTGTTCCTGAGTGGAGTTTTGGGAAGGCGTCGGCACAGGATCACTGCGTCGGGCCCTGCAGGCTCTGCCGCCCGCTGTGGGCTGCGACATGAGTGGCACTTCCTGGCACAGGACAACATGGCGCACCTGAGTCTAAATGCTGACAGTTCGGCTCCACTCAGCCGTCAGTTAGTGAGCTTCCAATCTGCTGAGCTAGGTGCCCTATTTGCCATTTCCCTCCAGCCCAACATGGACCAGCTCTGCTGAGCAGGCCTGGGGACTGGGCCACCCCGAGAAGCACGTGGTAGTTGGAGGACTCCCCCTGGGCAGCTGGAACAGCTTGTCTGTGTCAGGGGGTGGAAAGAGAACAAGCTCTTGGGAGCAGGACCAGAGAGGGGTTGCTCTAGATACAGCCTATGGCTCAGTGGGCAGGGCCCAGCCTGG